TTTTATTGGGGAAAGCGCTTCTCAGCTCTCTCCACCCGCCCTTCGACAAGAACCAGGTTCCCAGAGGCTGGCAGGGTGGACTGGGTGGGTCGGGGCTGCATGGCTGGTCCCCTCGGCCACTAGAGGGCAGGGTCTGAACAGAATACACAGCCCTCTCCCCAGAGAGTTCCCCAGCCAGCCAAAGGGGCACACACTTTTCCTAGTAGCCCCAGGATACACAGCAGACTGCAGCTCTGGCCCCCAAGCTGAAGAAGGATACTTCCTTGGCATATAGGAAACAAAGCAGTTGGTCTCAACCTCTCCCAGCATCCTTTGCAGGTAGATGGGCAGTGCCCTAGAGGATTCCAGCTGAGGGGAAGGGATGCCAGGTATCACTTGCAAAGACTTGAGTTTCTTACAAAAATACAAACAGGTCAGCATGCCAGGTCCCGCTGCTCTGAGGACGGGGGTGGGGTGGGATTGGAGCTTTTTCGTCTTTCTCCTGGTGGGCCCTTCAGAGTTTTGATCCCCTCCCTGCAAACTATTAAAGGGGATTCAGCTGTGAGTAGGATAAGCCATGAGGCCCTCAGGAAGGTCTGTCAGGTGAGCTCGATGAAGTCAACCTGCCCAAGCAAGCCCGGCTTCGTCGAGGAAGGGGAGAGACCGCTCTATCCTGGGAGGCCCTCTACTTTGTCATCTAAGGGTAAGTAAGTCACCCCTCTGGAAATGACTTTAACCTGAACAGCACTCATTTTAAAAGCATTAAGAGAAAGGAGTCAAGGCCAGGGGCAGGTAAGGAGTTTATGTAGTGCTTTTCACAGCTATCCTAAGGACAAACCGTCAGGTAGATAAATATTAACGTCCCTGTTTTACAGTTGAGAAAACATAAGCTCAGAGTAGTTAAGTGACTTGTCCACAGGCACATAAGTGGTGAGTCGGGGAGCCGGGGGTCCCCTGCACACACAGGCATTCTCCCCTCTGTAAGGCGGGAGGAGGCACTGCCTGAGAGAGGGTGGCTGGGAAAAGCATTCCCAAACCACTTGAGGAAACCTTTCACAGCTAAGAATCGAGTGGGGAGAAAGAGCAAAAGGGCAAAAAAGGACACTTGAAAGCCCTTACATTTACTCAGTTCTCACAACAACCCTAATTAGTAGGTATAATTATCTCCATTTTACATGAGAGGAAAAACAGGCTCAGGAACACATGTCCAAGGGTCACAAAGAAAAAACCAGCGTCAGAATTTGAACCCAGCCGTCCGCAGGATGTTTTCCTTTACTCCATGCGTCCTCCTGGTGGTGAGGAGGGAGAGGTGCGCAGAAACCGCTTTGCAGGGGGAGTTCAGAATCCATTCATCTTTGCGGAAGTCCACTTTGTGCCAAGCCTTGTACTTGGCTCTAAGAACACAGTAATATACAAGACCGACAGCCCCCAACTTGAGGGACGAACAGAAACATGGGAGGCGACAAGATGAGCAGGGATTAGACGGGCAAAGACAGTGTGTGTCGGGTCAGGCACGCCGGACTTCCTTTTCTTAACACAGCTCAGAGTGGCCCCAGGGGATATGTTGAGGGGGTGTGAGGGATGAGGCTGAAGAGGTGAGCAGGGGCCAGGTCTCAAGGGGTAAGGAAAGGCAAGAAAGGGTGTGATCTCAGGATGCCACTGAGTAACCTGGGAGGATGGTGACGGGCCCAGCGGAGCGGTGGCAGAGGGGATGTGTGCATTCATTCAACAAGTGCTTCAGCATTAGCATGAGCCAGGCACTGTTCTCGGTGCTGGGGGCACATCAGTGGACAAGGTGAGACAAGGCGAATGGGTTTGCTAGGGCCGCCATAACAAAATACTACAGATCAGGTGGCTTAACGGTAGAAATGTATTTCCTCACAGTTCTGGAGGCTAGAAGTTCAAGATCACGGTGTCAGCCGGGTTGGTTTCTTCTGAGGCCTCCGACCTTGGCTTATAGATGGCCATCTTCTCCCTGTGTCTTCACATGGCCTTTCTCTGTGTTGCTGTCCTAATCTCCTCTCCTTATAAGGATACCAGTCTTATTGGATGAGGGCCCATCGGGGTGACCCCTCTTTACCTTAATTACCTCCTTAAAGGCCCTATCTCCAAATATAGTCACCGCTGAGGTACTGAGGGTTAGGACCTCAAAATGTGAATTTTGAGGAGCTATAATTCAGCCCCATAACACAAAGTGTAGACCGTAATGAAGGCTGGAGCAAGAGGGAGAGGAAGAGAGATGCCATTGAGTTGAGATTTGAGGAGAGGGAGCTACCCGTGCATATGTTTAGGAGAGCATTCCAGGGAGAGGGAACAGCTGTGCAAAGACCCAAGGTGAGGACATGAGTTGGGGCTACTCAGCATCCAAGATAGTAAGGAGGAAGAAGGCTAGGGTGGCTGGAGCACAGGGAGGTAGGAAAGGGTGTCCCAGGGCCTTGAGGACCATCATGATGACTGGCTCTTTCTTTGATATGGGAAAGCAGAGAATTTTAAACAGAAGAGTGGCATGATCTAACTTGTGTTTTAAAAGCAATGCCTGTGTTGAGAAGAAATTGGGGGAGAGGGGAAGGGGAGAAACCGGGAGTCTTTGCAGTCATCCAGGTGAGAAAGGGTGTCGGGGCTGAGACAGTAACAATGGAAGTCTTGGGAAGTGGTCAATTCTGGATATAGTTTGAAGAGCGATCCAGTGGGGTTTCCCGACGGATCAGATGTAGGCCATGAGAAAAAGAGGGGAGTCAAGGGTCATTCCCAAGTTCTTGGCCCAAGCAACCGGGTGAACGGTGGTGCCATTTGCCTAGCTGGGGAAGCCTGTAGAAGTACATTTAAAGAGGCATAGGATTGAGAGTTGATGGTGAATAATGGGCAGCTTAATACATATTAAGTGTCTTACATATCCATGTAGAGATGTGGAGTAGACAGTTGGAAATGAGAATTCAGGGGAAAGGTCCAGATCGAAGGTATACATTTAGGAGACATCATAGAAATAGTATTTTAAACGATGGAACTGCTTGGGGGTGGGCGTAGGAGAAAAGGTCTAGGGTAAGCCCCGAGATACTCCAACAGAGATTAGGAAAAGGCACAATCAGCAAAAACTGAGGCGTGGAGAAGCTGGAGGGAAACCAAGGGCATTTGTCATGGAAGCGAAATGTAAAAAAAAATTCCAAGACTGCTGATGAGAAGCTGAGTAAAGAGACTGGAAATTGGCTGTTGGACTGAGCACTCCAAGGTCACTGATGATTTTGACAAAAGCCGTTTCCACGGAGTGCAAGGGGCGGGTACCTAATCACAGCTGATTCAAGAGAGAATGGGAAGGAAGCGAAGAATCAGAGGTGGCACGTATACACAACTCTTTTAAGGAGCTCTGTTGTAAAGGGGAGAAGAAAAATAGCATCGTAGTTCAAAGACGTGGGAAAATTTTAGGACAAGATTTTACAGCATCTGTGGATGCTCACGGGCATAACTGATGGGGGAGAAAATTAACAATGCAGGAAAGAGATCGTTGGAGCAGTCAATGCAAAGCTGGAGGGTTGGCCTTAGATAGGAGTAGGGATGGTTCATTCTTAGTAACAGGAGAAAGGCCTTATGGGCAACCAACGCAACGGGGTGAGCGGATTTGGTGGTGGTGCCAGTGGTGGTCGAGGAGATGGAAGTTCTCTTCTGATCGCTTTTATTGTCTTAGTGAAATAAGAAATATATTGATAGTAATCATCAGAGTGAGGAGGGGGAGGGGATACTAGACATCAAGAATGGAGAGAGGGGACTAGATTCAAGAAATAAACAGGTGGGATTGGTGGACCTTAACTGATTAGACATAGGGAACCATGAGGAAGGAGATAGGATAGGTTTCTGGTTCAGCAGCCGAGTGCATAGTGGAGGTGTCTTTCACGCAGATAGGAGAGCCTGTGGCAGGAGCAGGTCTAGGAGGAGACAGGGGCTTGACTTTGACCTAGAACATTTTGTGTCTGTGGGGCATCCAAGTGGACAGGAGTGTCTGAAGCTCAGATGAGGAACCTGAGCTGGAGAAGTATAATATTTAGATCTGGGAGCTGTCCGCATAAAGATGGTAGGAAGTGGAGAGGTTTCCGTGATTGCTATTTTCTGAGAGGTCAAGGGCTTGGTTGTCGGAGGTCAGAGAAAGTCTGAAATAGATTCTGGGGCATAATGAGACAATTGATAAGGAAATAGAGGGCTCCCCAAGTACCTCGGAGGCCCAGTTCAAGGCGAGCCCTTCCGTTGCCAGTGGCTCCAGACCCCCATCGCAGGGTCCTTATCCTATCTTCCCGCTGGGTTTCCTCCACCCAGGAATGTTCCCTGACCTTCAAGCTAACCTTTTACCTACGCACAACACCCTCTCCTCCTGGCTCACCTGGTTAACTCCTACTCACCTCTGTCTGCCAGCTGGGGCTAGGGGTCGCTTCTTTGTACCCAAATAGGCCCTGATAATCCTTATCTCAGAAGGAAACATATTGCAGTCATCACTGATTTGCTTATGTGCCCCTCCCACTGGTCTGAAACAACTTGAGGGCGGACACTTTTCAATATATGTTTGTGAAACGAAGAGAGGAAAAAAGGACTGAAGTCCAAAATCAACACAGTTCTCCAGGGTCATGATGTCCCGAGCCTGGGTCACAGGCACATGTTTCTGGACATGGAATTCAAGCCACAAAATAGGGACTGTCCCCTTGGTCTCAACATCCCACCCCGTTCCTTCCAGGAAGAAACCTTCATATGCCAACGTAGGACGGTAATAACCTTACCTTCTGCTCAAGTTCATGAACTCTTGTTCCTGCCGTTCCCAAACACAACAGCCAGAGGCATCGTAAAAGGCATTTTATTGACAAATCAACACACCCTGCTCATATCAATCAGTCACGCTCCATTTCGGAGTTTCGTCCCTGCGCGCGAGAGCAGATTCTGTGGTATTTTTCTGGGTTTAAGGTGTAAACTGACATGGTGTTCAAGAACTGGTCCAGTGGACAGAGCCGGTCTGGGCACCCTCTCGGCACTTGCTCCTGTGGAAGAGACATTACTCAGCGGGGCTACTAAGGACCCCGTTTTCAGCTGTGCCCAGAGGTCTGTGAGGCTTGGACCCGATGGTCTGTGCACACATGTGACAGCCAGCGAGCCCCACTACTCGGTCAGCTTCCAGAATAAGAGCAATTATGCCTGCCTGTGAAAGTCACTCAAGAACTGTCTGTTGAACTGACTGGGACGTTATGCCATTGAGCTGGGAGGGCTGAAGGTCTAATCCTTGGGGACTGCTCTCACCTCTGCCCTGGACAGCAACCTGCTGAAGCAGCCAAGGCACCAAGAGTGTGACAGCACACATCACCTCCCAAAGACACCACATTCATGTTAAAAACAGGCCTCCCGGTCAGATGTCACATCCTGGCAGATGCTCAGGAGAAGAGGAGGGTGGTCCTGTTCCTACAAGGAGTCTGGAACAGGCCTGGGATAAGGTCCGAGTCCCAGCTTGCCACCATATGCCAAGTGCCGCCTTATCCCTGGGCCACAGCTGTGAGTCGCCCTAGAGGACATTAGAGCACCAGTAGAGGCTCCCTGAGGATGGAGACTTGGTGCCAAACCAGGTGGCTGGGGTTCAGGGAAGGGTGCCACCACCCGATCCCACCTCAGAGGTCTTACCTTCCCATGGTAATAGAGCTGCACAAACCACTCCTTAGATTGCTGGTGCTGGTAGAGTTCCAAAGTCACGTCAACAGCAAACGGTGGCCATTTGTGGTCAAATATCCCCAAGGCCATTAAGAGAGGCATGACGGTCACATCATGAGCCGAATAGAGGTACAGCTTTCTGCAGGGAGCACAGTTCAGAAATCTTTACTGAGGACTCAGGAGGCCCGGGCACTGCCTGCCATCTTTCAGCAAGGAACACTTGCCTCAGAAACCAAGGGGCATCTAGAACCCAGTTGAGCCTGGAATAAAACTCCTTTGAAGTAGATGGTGGGGAGGAAACTTATTCCCACGCCCCATGCCTTTGTAAGGTGGGGTCCCCACGGGTGTAGCTCTCCTGGCCTCCTCCTGCCCGCCCGCTCGCCCACCCCCCCAACTCACTCTCCCCTGGTGAGTTTCGCAGAACCTGAGCATGTGTGCATGGTCCTTCCTCGCCTCTCTCTCTGGGACCTGCCTGCCTATGGCCAGTGTTCTTCCTACTCTCAGCCGTGTGGTGAGTTTAGTAGAGCTGGCTCTCCTCCTTGTTGGGGAAGCTCACATTCGGGGGGAATGAAGTTCATTTCAAAGGAATATTAACGAGCCTGTTAGCCCTCAACACATTCTTCAAATGGCTTTAATCAGTAATAAAGGGGCCATTTTAATCTATATCTTCCTGATCCCTGTATCTGTCTCTGGAAAAAGATCAGGGATTTTATGTGTTGACCCCCAAACTAGAAGCACTGGGTCCCGTAGTATTCTACAGACACAAGGCCAAGGGAGGCAAGGGGACAAAGGCCAGCGGGGAATGGATTGTCATTGCAGGGACTGAAGGACAGGGAAGGGCATCCATGTGATCGTCTATTATAAATCTTGGCCCAAAGTTCCTGAATGTTCCTCTTTCAACTCGCTGTCCCCTACCTTTCCTGCACTCGTCGTGAGTTTCTAGCCACATTCAGTCTCTCTCTCTCAAGATGGCCACCTGCAACAACAGTGCTTCTCTAATATTAGGGCGCATGCAGATCCCCTGGGGATCTTGTTAAAATGCAGACTCTGACTCTGGGCTGGGCCTGGGAATCTAACAAGCGCCCAAGTGACAGTGAAACTGTTCACCCGCAGACCGCACTTTGCTAGGCAACTGCCACAACACGTGACATTCCAAACCCGTGGTCCCTAACCTGGGCTTCCAGCTCTGTAATAGTGGCCATGGAGGTTCACAAGCCACTCCCAACATTTTAAAATGCCTCGCAGATATCATCCCCTTCTATCCACTCAAGGAAGGTGTTCAAGCGAAACAATCTATTAAGCAACGATCTTTGTCTTGGGCTATTATAATATTGAATCAGTGTGATATCATAACTAGCCACTCTGACATGTGTTCGATTAGTAAAAAAAATATTAATAGAAAAATAAATTTAGGGTTCTTTTAGCTAAGATAAAAATTTCAAATCATGGTAGGATGGGTGTAGTAAAAAGAAAGGTAAAAACCTGAACGTCTCTGGGACTCGTGGCCTCTTAAACATCACCTTTCAGTCACTGACAGCCTGGTTCTCGGCCCCCTAAAACCTGGGTTCCCTCCCTGCAGTCGGAGCCCCCCCACTGCCCTCAGTGGCACAGAGCCGAGCTGCTGTGCCAGGTACCTACCTGGTCTTGCCAGTTGGAGAGGCAGGGTCCACCGCTCTCAGCAGGTTGCTCTCCAGGATGTGAAGAAAGGGTCCTACCACCATCTGAAGACATTCCCTGTGGCAAGGAAACAGCCTTTGAGCAGCCAGCGGTTACTGGGCACACAGAGGATGCAGGCTGGCTCTGTCCCCGAGGACCTCACCAGCCCAATCAGACAGAGGGGAGAAGAGAAGCACGAGGCCCAGCGGCAGGCAGGAAGGGAGAAACGGCGCTGCTTTGGCTTGGAGGGCTCTCTGTGTGCAGAGACACAGGATACAGACCTGGTGTGAACACGCAGAGACGGGAGGGGCTGAGGGGATGGGCAACGAGGACAAGTCAGGATAAGAACGAGGCTTCAGGAAGAAAAGAACGGAGCTGGGAAGGACAGGGTGTAATGATGCCAGGAATTCCAGAAGGCCCTTAGAAAAGCGATCCAAAAAAACACCACCCTAAACTACACTTCCTATGTGCCAGCCCGCCTTCCTTGGATAGTAGACCACAAGGATGTTTCTTATTTATGGATTTGATTGAACAGTGTTCAGCGGGAGTGCTTGCCGGGCTGGCGCTGTGGCTCCACCACTTTCCTTCCAGGCAGGCTGTTACCTCCTGGTCACAGGCGGCTACTGCAACTCCAAGCGTGTCATCTCACAGTAGTAAACGAAGCAGGAAGATGGGGGCCGGTGAGCGGCAGAAAGGCTTGGTTTTGGTGCCTTTCACTTGTTATCTAAGACGGGGGAAAAAAGCCTCTCCCAGAATTCCCAGAACCCAACTGCTGACAAAAGGGACTGTGGTTGCCGTTACTGGTTTAGAGCAATCCTCACTCGTGGTACCTTGATAAATGGCCGCCTTTATAAATCAAGGGAGGTTGAAGCAATGGATGAGGAGTAGGCACCCAATACAGCATGCAACATATCCTTTCCAGAAAAAGTGCAAGCCAAGCCCAGTCAGGTGGCATTGTGAGTTTGTAACTCTCTGTCCTTGAAGAAACATCAGTTTTATGAAACCAGGATTAATTGGAACAGAAAGGAGAATAGATCAGGTCTTATTTAAAATGCTTTACTCCAGGAGCCAGCTGAGTGGCGCGTTGGTTAAGAGTTGGCTTGGGACACCAGCTCTGAGCAGCAGGGCTGCCGGTTCGGATCTCACATGCGGGCCAGTGATGCTGCGCCCTCTACAGCTAAGATGGTGAACAACAGCTTGACCTGGAGCTGGGCTGCCGTGAGTCATCTGCGATGGCGTGGGCTGCAGTGGGGCTGCAGTGGGCTGCCGTAAGCTACTGTGAGCGGCCGTCCAATGGCCAGTGAGCGACTGCCCCACCCGGGAAGAGCGCAATGATAATACCAACATGGGCCAGTAAAGCGATGTCCTCCACAACTAAACTGAAGAACCAAAGGACAGCAACTTGTCTGTTCCCCTTCCCCGATTCCCCAACACTGTTTCCCTCCCCCAATTCCCCAATAAAATGTTTAAAAAAATAAAAAATGCTTTACTCCAGGAGAAAGCAAACTATGGGTATTGGCCAAATCCACCCACCTGCCTGTTTGTGTAAATAAAGTTTTATTGGAACGCAGCTGTGCCCATTTCTTTGCATATCGTCTATGGCTGCTTTCCTGCTGCATGGACAGAGATGAATAGTAGAAACAGATAAAGCACAGGTTGCAAATCCTAAAATATTTACTAAATATGAGCGAGAGCGAGAGCGAGAGAAAGAGAGATAGTGGAGCGAAGGGCAGTCAGTGACACGTTAGTTCTGGTGGGCCACTTCAGGGACAGACGCGGGAAGGCGTCAAGTCACAGGCAGTGGCAGCGAGCTGAGTGGCGAGGCTGGAGCCTTCGGGATGCCCTAGGCGAGCGCACAAGTGGACACACTGACTCCGAGTGGAGGAGAAGCACTCGGAGGCGCTTATTCTTACGCGACAGATGGCACATTCTTGAAATGTAGCTGCTTTTTCCTCCCACTCATCGTCCCAGCACTGTTCCTCTAGTTCCCATTCCTCCTCCACCAAGTCACCTATCCTGAGTGCACGCTGAATGTTAACTAATCAGAAAAAAGGTGTTTTTTTTTTGCAGTTTGGTAAGAGAGAGGCTCTCCATTCTGGTAGTCAGGAAACAGGCCTTCCAGAAACAGAGCTCGAAGTCCCAGTAATATAGAGAAAACAGGACTGATAAAGATCTGGGTCCCAGTGCTGGCTCTGCCCCTTGCTAGTCGAGCCGAGGCAGGCAGCCCACACCCCCAGGTCCAGTTTCGTCATCTCTAAAGCCAGGACCTGGACTCTACCATGGAGAATGACACCTACCTCCCAGTGAGAGTGTGAAAATGATTCCTAAATTGTAAAGAGATGAATCAAGTGGGAGATGATTATTCTCCCCCCACCCCCCCCACCCAAATCCTTCAAAACTTAAAGCCACAAAGTGATTAAGAGAAACCCAGTTGAGGGGTGGCTCTGGGTTCTGTATGACAGCGAACGGAAGCACTGCGTCACCAGCCCCAGCCCTAGAAGTGAAAGGACGGAGGGCCAAGCCCCCTCAGTGAGCCAGCGGAACGGGGTGATTTCCGCCAGCGCACACACACACGTGCCAGCAGGCAGGCGTGGGTGACCTGATGAGCCCCCTCCCCACACACTAGGGGACCTGACCAAGCATGAACTTCAGGCCAGCAGCTGAGGAGGCCTCTCACCTGTCTTCACTTTGCATGTATAAGACTGTGTCCACAGCTCTCTGTTCGATCATCTGTGTGAATCTCTTCAGCGTGGGGCAGCTCAGGAGGCCGTGCGCCTGGAAGGGTCACAGGCACAGTCTGAGAAAGCGCCTGGCAGCGTGTTGGCTCCTACGGAGCCTTCAGGGGCCCGTCTCCTCCGGGGAGGACCTTCCCAGCTCAGGAAGCTAAGTCCCCAAGGCCCCCTGGAACTATTCCTAGAGATCTGAAGGCCCAGGAAAAAAAATGTTTTTCCTCCCTTTCTGATGGCTATCTACTCCAAAATGAAAAACACTTCTATTTTTTTAAACTGTATTATAAAAAAAGGTGAATAAAATACCAGGCAAGGAATTCATAAATTCCTACTTGGCCTTCATTGTCCCCAAAACTATTTCTAAGACATATGGACTGTAAATATTTCATATAAGCTCTTGTCTTATAACCTTACACCCCACGAGCACAAGGCACATCTGCCTTCAGGGCGTCGTCACTAGAGAGGGAAGGAGAATCCAGGCCACACGGCCTCCGGGTGTCCGACTTTTGAATCCCAAGCAGCATGGCTCACTGTGGGGTCTTCAGTATTTATTATATCGCCTGAGCTCCTAACCGAGTGAGGAGTCCTCCTTGATTGTTCCCCTCACAGCTGCCTCCAAAGCAGGAGGCCTCCATCCGCTCCCTCTCCACCCAGCTCCACCTCAGAAGCCAACCCACCCAGGTGCCCGGTCAGGCTCCCCAACCCAGGGCCCGAGGAGGGCAGCCGTCCCACCTGTTCAGCAGCCATATTGTCAAACAGGAGGACGAAGTCCACTTCATCACTGCTGGCAATACCCATCCCCTCTTTCACCTTTTTCAAATCCTCTGAGATTCCTGGCTGCAAAGAGGCGGCCTGCCTCCGGCCTCTGCCAAAAAATAAAAAGTCATCCCTTACGTTGTATAGTGATTAACAGTTTACACGCCGTTTCTCATTCATCGTGTGGGAACTCATTTAATCCTCAGCAACAACTCACTGGGGTTGGCTGGCACTGTTCCCATGATACAGACAAGTAAACTAAGGCCCCACGAGGTCAAATGACTAAAAGAAGTTGAATGAGTACCAGGGCTAGAATAAAAGGCTGGATTTTCCAAATCCCATGCTAGCATTTTCTTTCATTATACCAAAAATGATGCAAGCGCGGCCCTGGTCTGCTTGAAAAGAGCGTTCTCTTTCTTCTGTGGAACACATACTATTGGGTTGTCGGAAAAGTCATGACGCATTTTTACAATGAAAACCATAAAAATATGTCATGACTTTTCTGACAACCCAATATATTGTCTTGGTGCAGCCCAGAAATACCTGAACCCTGGAAAGTATCATCAGCCCAACCAATCTATCCTAGGGGGGCCACACACTGGTAAGAGGAGGGAAATCTGCGTGTTCTGCATTTGCAGTTTGATGACTCGCTCCATTGTCTCACATTTAACCCGTCAGTTTCTTCGTCTGCCCCATCTGAGAACTCAAGACTGTTGAGAGGATAATGCTTTGGACGAGCAAAGCCCCACTCATGGCTGTACATGCCATCAGCTCTCCAGCCCGGCATGTGGCTTTGCCCAGGCTTCCTGTCCCTTCACTGAGTCTGCCACCGTGAGCAAGAGCGTTTTCACTGCCTGGACAGCCATGTTGGACCTGAGGGTAACGCAGTCCCTTATCCACCAGCACAGGAAACCTGGGCAGGCCCTCAGTGCTGGCCGAGTCCTGCCAGCCAAAGGCTACGCGGTCTGTGCCCCGCTGGTGAGCGAGAACCCGGGGCAGTTACCTGGTTCTTTCCCGCAGGCTGCAGCAGTTCTGGAAGTTGGGGTATAAGACTTCAGAGCTCGCATCATCAGTGTGGATGGTGATGGGTCCTGGAAGGAAGCGGGGAAGCAAAGGCAGGAAGAGGCTTCAGCGTGGTCTTCAGCATCCTCCTCTGTCTGCGTCTCTTCGTCTACACGGATGAAGTTGCTCCAGGAGGCAGGCCATCAAGCTAACTCCTTAAGGACAGTGAATGCCCTCGACGTGCCCTGGCCTTGCTGGAGGAGCTCACCTGTGGTCTAGCGATGCGGAAAGCAGGCAGCCATCTTGTTCTGTCTGGCATGACCCCCCTGTCGGGTCACATAGAGACTAAAGCAGGTACAGAGCTGGAGCAGGCTGGGACTTCCCCAAAACACGCCGCCTAGAGGCACAGCCGGCACTTGGGCTTTCTAATAAAGAATCCCCCCCACCGACTTTATCAGAACGAGGCTTCTCCAAGTCCAATCCTATAGGCCCATATGGTGACTGATCACATGACAATCTGAGAAAGGCGACCACGAGGCCACAGACCCCACAGCCTTGCCCAAAACGAAAGCCAGGCTTCGACTACAAACAATGTTTCTTTTATACCAGGCAGCAGCTCGCAGCTGCTCAAAGCTCACAAGTACCTTTGTCCCCATCAACACACCCAAAGGCGCTCTTAACACCATCCCATGCTTTGCTCTGTGCCAGAGATGGCAAGGCCCTGTGGCAAGGGCTCCCATCAGAGCCTCTTTGGAACTCGCTGAGGTTAACCCGCGGGGTGATTAGGTGACTCTAAACCTCAAAGCGCTATTATTCCCAAAGTATTGACAGTCAAAACCCCAGGACTTTAAACGTAGCCTATGGTAACTTAACTATGAGAATTCAGACACACTTTGTTGGTCAAATGATCAGAGGCCCTCTCCTGATTTACTTGTCCTCTGAGAAGCAGGAGAACATAAGGGTGGGGAAGGTGGATTCTGAAACCAGACTGCCAAGGTTCGAATCCCAGCTTCACCATTTACCAGCTTTGTGTCCTTGGGAAGGTCACTTAGCCTCTCTGCGCCTTAGTTCTTTTATCTGTAAATTGGTGATAACGTTACCTACCTCGCAGGGTTATTACAAGAATTAAGTTAATATATGCAAAGCTCTTAGAATAATGTTTGGTGTAAGTGCTTTAGGTGTCAGAATAATAACGACTGTGATTTAAACCTTTAATGTAACGTGATTCATTCCTATCTCGTGTCTGGATAGTGGATGTCCAGTTTCTGATGAATAAGGCACGTCTGAATCAGCACTCAGACACACAATGAATGAATGACTGCCCACATGGTGCTTCTCCCACAGCCTGATTCTCTGTAGCTTACACATAACCCTCTGGAATTTCTCTAGGATTTTACTCCTGCAACAAGATTGCAAAGTCACACCACTTCTATAATATCACTGCTAACACCTTGTGGGGTTCTTTGGTCTGTTCGAGTCCCTTGATACTAGGCAAGGTATGGATGTCGCTGTGACAGACGTCCAATTGGAGTCCCAGGAGGTCTGGGTCCCATTCAGCCACACCAGAGGCTGGGGATGGTACCACTTCCCCCTTTCTGGAAGCCTGCAGCATCCTCGCGCTGAGACCTGCCTGCGGATATAAGAAATAGCTTTTGGTGTTTCACTCAAACATTCGGTGTTTCTGAGAAGAGGACATTGGCCTTTTAGAAGCTGAGTGAGTAAAGAGCTCTCAGAAGGCCAGGCGTTGTGGATTTTCCTAAGCTCGGGGGCTGCAGATGTAAGGGGCAGCCCATCTTGCCTGCTGTGTGTGACACAGACATAGCGGAAGTCCGCAGCCAACTTCAGCCAGCAGCACTACCCAACTCAGCTGGGGACGCGGCCAGTCTCCTCTGGCCTGGAGGTTTTGATCATTTTACATACTTTTTAAAGCCTGATGGAAACATTGTATCTTTTTGAGCTACCACTAAAGAAGCTAAACAAAAGAACAAGAACCTTTGCCTGATGGCACCATTTTAGTATTTTGATATTGACGAGGTCAGGAGGATCTAAAACTCAGACCGGCCATTAAATGTAAATTTGAAGCAACTGCATGTGACAAAATGCCGCTTCCTTTGCTAAGCAGTCAAAGGCCCTCGATACATGGGATCCATGAGGGAAAATAATACATGTGGTCCTCGGTGGTGAAAAGGTTGGGAACCATGAGCTGGGGCCATACGCTGGCTGAATTTGTCAACGCCCACACTCGACAGACTTTCTCAACGAGGAAAGGCAGAACCAATGCTGGTGACACCCTCTGGGTCATGCTGTGGATTTCCACCAGGGTCCCAGCTAAGTGTCCCTCCTGCGCTCCTCCCTTTGCAGCAGTGTCACCTAAGCAAAGAGCCCCCGATACTGTTCACAGGACCTGGCGACCGCTGCCTCATGCAGCTTGTGCAGAAGCTCAAGAGCAGGAGTCGGGAGGCAGGGGCCCGTCAGAGCCACTGACGCACATCTGCCGCCGCGGAGAAGTCAGGCTGGCAAGGCAGCGGGAGGGCCAGACAGGAGGGGCCCACTAGAGCAGGCCGACCACGGAAGCCACGTGTGCAGCAAAGAGGCCAAGGGAACAGGCACCAAGGAAGACAGAGGTGGGGGCTTTGGCACAGAGAAGAAAATGCTCTGCAGGGACAGGGGCTGACTGTTAGACTCCAAACGCGAACCTTCTTTCGGATGTGGGAAAAGCCCAGCCAGCAAACACCGGGTAGACTCCAGATTTCGATATATGTTAGTGGAACGAACGCTGGAAAAAAACCAAAAGATGGGGACACTCAAAAAAGGAAGATTGAATTATATGCACGCTACCTTAGTCCACAGAGCAGCTGGGAGTACAGATGGGGAGTATGGGGCTGGGAAGAACCCTTTCTCTCTCTGTGGGAGGGCTGTCCCAAGGGACCCAAAAGCCAGTGACTGTGACCTTCAACAACCACCTGTTCACAGGATCCTATTCCACAGGGGTAACTGCCCCCGAACTACCTTGGGTGACAGTGGGAACCATCTGGGGGACCAGGGCAGGTTTCCTCAAGACCTTAAATTGGGTGCAACGTCCCTTTTCCAAGCGACTCACAAGACCTCCTGTGGGTTGAAGGTTGGCGAAAGGAAGGGGACATCCTCCACGTAGCTCTTCCTCAGCCTCTCTCCCAGGGCAAACATCTGCCACATGCCCACATTAGTCAGCTGTCCAGCAAACATGCCCCCCTGAGGTGGGGGAGAAGGAGAGAGAATGATACACGTCCCAGCCCACGAAGCCCAGCCCAGAGCAGGAAGCGTCGCTCACCTTCAGCACGGTCTTACGGTACTGCGAGTCGAAAGGAGAATGTGGTTTCGGGCCACCAGTGAGGTCAGTGACGGTGTACTCAAGCCGAGTTTGGGGTGGGACCTCTAACAGCCGGGGATTCCACTCCACCTGCTGGGACCACAGAAAACAACACGGTGTTTGAAACTTAACAGCAGTAACATCCAGCAGCACTTGGCACAGCTGGGATCCCTGACACCAGACCTGCGACCTCCCCATAGGAAGGAAAGAAAGAAACTTTACCTCCAATTAAGGGAAGGCAAGACCGGGATTTACTATTCCAGGTGTCCTGAGCCCAAGTCCTGCCGTTGTGACACTTGTACTTACTGTCAAGAGGCTGCTCTGGCACTAAGGCCAGACTGAAGTAGAGGGGAAAAGTGGCCAGCATGCCAGGCAGTGAATGAATGAATGAGAGAATGAATGAATGAAATTTCAGTGACCACATACTGTAAGGGTTTTTAAAGAATCACATGTTTCTAAGTCCATCCCTTAAGGGCTGTACTGAATGTCCTTTGTAACCAACACATAGTTCCCTTCCTTTCATCCAATATCTGCAACAGGCAGGGCCCTTTAAGAAACTTTCATTTTTTCACCATCTTCCTTGGCTCCTTGCCCCACCTGTACTGGAACGGTTTTCAAAATGTCACAAGCAGCCGTAGGTCTCATAGCTCCGACTGCCCATAAAACTCTTACACTCACTGCATCGGATGCAATGACTTCAATTTCCAAAAGAATCTTTTCTTCTAACCCCAAACACCAGCGCCTCCATACTTACTGTTTCTCTCAATGCTCACACAATTCTCCTGCGCCCCAAAATGCAAACCTCTGACTCTCCCCACTGCTCCACCATCCCTGCACCAAACCCTCAAGATCTCCGGCTAGAAAAAGGTCACTGGAAGTCTTTCTTTTGTCTTCCCATCAGAGTATAACACCTTATTAGCTCAGGCGCAAACCTGGGACCGAGTCCCACAGTCCATCCAGACAGAACCACCTGGCTAAGCCTCTTTCATCATATCGAGAGCTCATGTTCCAAGACATGAGCATGCGGCCCTCCAGGACTTCTGCACTGTGGCCCAGCTCTGCCCCCAGCTGTACTGCCATTCCACTTCACTGCTCCCTCCCTCCGCCCTGGATGTGTGTCCTCTCTCAGCTTGCTTCCAGTCCTGCTTGATGTCTGCCCAGCCAGCTTCTCCGCAAGGGTCAGTGATCCTCAGATCTGGCCCGGCCATCAGTGACTACTCCAGCTTTCCGCGGTTGTCTTCTTACCTGAATTCCTACTGCACTTACAATCAAGAGGACACTATTTCACTCAATTTCCTACTACTTCATTTTGTTAGAGTAAAACTAACATTTTTTTTTTTTTTTTTAGCTGAGCCATCCCGCCACCTGTTGGCAGCTCACGGCTGCTCAGCTCGGGCTGACTCGAACCGCTGTTGCTCAGAGCTCAAACTCTTGAGCGAGCTCTTAACCAACTGAGCCACTCAGCCGGCCCAAAACTAACATTTTTAAAACCTACTACATCACATATGATTACGTTTATCTTGGCCCCTCCCAGCAATATCCTGGGACAATGCCTCTGGGAGTCCCAGGCTCTCCTTGTACAGAGGAAGCTCTCCATTCTTCCAAGAGGGATGGTCTCAGCCCCACCCACACCCAGTCCCCAACACCTGAGCCTCTTCTCCCACTGGTGCTGTAGCAACTGCTGTCAGATTGGGTGTTCAGTGCAGAGACTTCTTCCTACTATTATCTTTTAATCATTGCTCCTTGTTTCAAAGTTCTGATCCTGTAACTGCATAAAACCTTCAAGGGCTCACAGCCGCACGAGGGCCCCTCGATATCTGCCTCTTCACCACTTCTTCCCTGCCCTACACACTTACTCTCTAGCCACCCAACTTTGTTCCCTAGAGACCTTCACACCTCCTGGCCTTTCAGCCTCATGTGTCTTCTACCTGGACCTGTCTTTCCCCTTTCATCTGGAAAAACTTCTGTTCATTCCACAGGACAGCTTAAATTTCCCAGAAGCTGGGCCGGCCGAGTGGCGCGATGGTTAAGAGCTGGCTTGGGATGCCAGAGGGCCCCGGTTCGGGGCCCACATATGAGGGCCAGTGACACTGCCCTCCACAGCTAAGATGCTGAACAACAGCTCAACCTGGAGCTGGGCTGCCATGAGTCGCCTGCGACGGCGTAGGCTGCAGCCCCTGCTGCAGTGGGTTGCCATGGGCTACCGTGTGTAGCCAGCAGCCAGCGTGAGCGGCCAGCAGCCGCAGTGAGCAGCCGTCCAGAAGCCGGCGACTGATCTGCCTCGCCAAGGAGGAGCGCAGTGATGGTGCCAACTTGGGCCAGTGAAGCAACGTCCTCCACAACTAGACTGAAGAGCAAAACAACAGCAACTTGTCTGTTCCCATCCCCCCCAATTCCCCAATAAAAATCTTAAAAAAAAAAAAAAATTTTCCCAGAAGCTGTGACCACGGCTCCAGGCTCTCACAGCAGCCTCGGTGGCTCTCCTAGGTGGCCTTTTTGGAAGTGTATGAGAAGAGCTCCTTTACCAGTCAGTTCTGCTCAGCAGTCTTAGCTTCCTGAGAAGAGAGACCGGGTCACCTGTTGACCTCTGCATTCCAGATGCCCAAAGAAAGGGCTTGGCACCCATTAGGTACAATTAATAGCTCCAGCAATTTGCCAGGTCCTGTGGAAGATACCAAGACTGAGATAACATGACTACTTTTTCTGGATTTTCAGGTCAGTGGAGATGACAAGCTATAAATGTATTGTAAACGACGGCAGTACCATGCACTACAAGAAACCAGATGAAGAGCACTGTAGCTCAAAGGCAAGACAGACCTTCTCTTCTAGCTGGGGGTTCAGGAAACGTTTCATGGAAGGAACGGCATTCGAAGTGAATAGGATTTAGACAAGCGAAGACCTGGACTTGAGGGTCAGAAGGCGGGAAGAGGAGAGGGTGGTACTGAGAACTCCTGGAATAGGTAGGAAACTTGAGCAAAGCAGAGATGGTGAACGGTGCATATGGGAAGGGAGTGGTTTGGTTTGCCTCAGCCTGCGAGTGCTTGTCGAACTTTTTAATTAGCAAGTACCAAGTAGAATTTCACTTCAGATTTGTATATTTAAAGACGAAAACTGGAATTTCTCTGGTTGAAGTAGGAGTGGGAACCCAGGCCCCCAGCCACTCAGCATCCCCGCAACCCACAGGCTCCACAGTTTGAAAGCCAGCAGCGCAAATCACGACTGCAATGGGAAGACTCTATGCAGAAAAGCCAAATTCAAGATGTCTGCAACAGAGCCGAAGAAAGCATAGGGTCCCACCTAAGGCGGGAGGAATAGCAGGAGTGGGTGCAATTTGAGTCAAACTTGGCAAGTGAGTAGATCAAAGCTTTATTTGGGGGTTATGTTGGTAGATAAACAAGGAAGCATAAAGAAAAACAAACATTAGTTTGATTTTGAGCCTGGGTGCCTAAGGTGAGAGAAAGATAATGGAGGTAACTCCTCGATTAAAACAAAGACCAAGACAGAATAGTTGACAAGCTGAGTTCAGTTTTGAACATTTTAAATTTGAGATGCCTCCTTGGAGTTCCCAGCGCTTCCCGCGTATTTCCACAACTGAAATCTCTTTTGTCTTTCTCCTTCACCACAATGTAATCTCCTTTATAGCCAAGACGGAATCAACCACCTTTACATGGGTCCTTAGGCACAGTTGCCAAAGGGGGATCTTTGGTGTTTCCTGGGAATGACTCTTGAAAGTCTAGGTCATGTCAACTCCAGAGTACACATTTTCAGATTTTCAAGAATGGATGGCACCTCAGTTCCATACATTGTGTCCATCCTACATACACACTCTCATTCTTGCTCCCGTGCTAATGACAAAGAGTAACTTTATAATTTTACTTACTTATTTGTACCCCATTTTCAAGAACTAACTTAAAGTAGGTGATAAAAAAAAAAAAATATATATATATATATATATATATATATATACTAAAACAACCCATTCAAACTCAGCAAGAAAGACAAAAGCAAATGCGTATAGGGACAAACAAATGGATGCAGTGTCAAGTCACTCAACAATACATACCACGAAGATCCATATACTTGGACATGGGCCGAGATTAGGCACTAAGCTTCCTTGCTTTTATGTAAAAGGAGAAACTTGATCAGCTAGACAAGCTTAAAGATAAAAGCAAGTCAACTGTTCCGGAGAAGCACACCATTTCGAACGCTAACAGACAAATTTCTCCCAAGGGCCCTCATAAAGAGGATAGAGTAATATAATGAACATCTTGTCAGTAGTCACAGCAATGAGTTCTGTGGGGTTGCTTCCTTCATTGTTTTCTCAACACAGAAGAATAACGTCTCACCAAAGCACATTTCTGTGACGACAATACTAGACTGGGATCAATACGCTACCTTCCAGGGAGAAGAAAGAAACCTACATAGAACTAAACGCAAACCTTCCAGGTGTAGATTTTAGAATAAAGCAATGGTTTGAAACCTTGACTACACACTGGCATCACTGGGGAATTTTAAAAAGTTACCAATGCCTGAGCCCCATCCGGACCTAATCGCATCCAGGCCTCAACTTTTTTAGTGCTATCCAGTCCAGATCCTTCTACAGTTTCACCAGAGAAGCTTTTACCATGTCTGGATGCTCTGGGCCAATTAAATCAGACTCTCTGGGAGAGAACCCAGGCATCGCTATTTTTTTAAAGCTCCCCAGTTAAGTCCAATGTCCCATCAAGGTTAAGAACCACTGCTCTAGAGGAAAGAATAAACTGACCAGCACATCCTTCACGCATGCTTCCTGAAAACCCTTAGCTGAGCCTTGGATAGGTATTAAGCAACAATGACACTGACATTGCACTTCCCAGTTTATTTACATCACCAAATAATAAACCCACATGCCTTAATCAACCATGGAGCTGGGATAGGTTGGAATCTATTTTACAAAAACCGAGGAACCTGCCTGATTGGAGGCCATCTTGCCCCTGTATGGAGGGGAGCAGAGGGAAATCCAAAAGCAGGGCCAAATTTATCTTTTGAATGTGTACTTGGATCTAATGTCCCGAAAAAATGGCCAATCAAGTTCCAGAGTTTTATTTCCAGAGCACAGCTAAAGGAAGACAAGTTAAGTCAACAGCCATTCAAGCCACGAGAAAACAACTCAGTAAAACATCTAGTTTTAAACAAGACTACTTTCTGAGGATTTGTGAGATAACTAAATGACTTGTCTTATGTTTATCTATAAACAAGTCAGCAGTCTGGAAACATCTACCAAAGGCAAATTTAGTTTTCGAATTGTTGCCAAGTCGTCCCTCCTGACAATAACTAACAGCAGAACCAGGAAGATTAGAAAAATCCCAATAACACCCTCTATCAAATTGGATCTTGAAAAGAAAACCTGAGCGAGCACTTCCAGAAACAAGTTACAGCAGTCCAATGACACTAGCTCATAGCCTACATTGAAAGAGTTGGTTCCACCTCTGGCTTTTATGCATAAGACTATATGAGATAAACGAAGATGTTATTGCAGCTGCCTAAAGTCTGGAGAACGTGAGCAGGCAGAAGTAATGTGCCTTCCCTAATTGCAAAGCGAGGACGTGGACTCGAATGTTCCATATTTTGTGGCTACACAGACAGAAGATGAATGAAACTGGCATTATACCTGAGCTACAAGTGCCTCTTCCACATAAAGGCAGGAGACCCCATCATACACCCACTGGCTCAAGAGAAAGCCTTAAAAGAATCTAAATCTCTTTTTAGGCTCTCTAGGGAGTACATATACTGTACATACTAAGTGCAGGTCTAGACATTCAGACTTCTATTTTCTGCTACCGCTGGTAACTTTGTCTTTCACACGAGTTTTCTATACCTATATGTTATTTTCCAGCTTTTCTGTAACAAGAATAAAGGGACTAAGGGGAGTGCATAAGAGATAGGTTATGTACAAAATCATAAGGAAAATGTAGGGACCTAACATAAAAAAGCAAAGTTAAGGACTTAAAAAAAGATCAAAGCATCAAAAAGAAAGGAAGGAATGGAGGGGAGGAAGAGAGAGAGAGAGAGAGAGAGAGAGAGAGAGAGAGAGAGAAACGGAGGGAGGGAGAAAAGAAATTCCAGTGCCAGAAAGTGGTATAGCCATATAGAAAAGCTAATTAGAAATCTGGTAATAGAATTAAGTGCAACCCAAGATCTATTTATGTGGGAAGTGCTTAAAGGCTTGATTTCAAGTTGTGGCCAGCTTTAAAAACTGGGCTTTCAGTTGTACAATGTGTACAAAGCCCTAAGTGTTTCTGGAAAGCAACTATGATCATGAAGAGTATGCTTAATATCAGGTTTGGACATCAGGTTGAACCTGCTCCAACATTAACCTGGAGGACCCACAATTCAAAAGCGCTCCACCGGAAGTGTGACAGCTGGGACCTGAGGAGTTCAGGGAGCCCATGCATCTTCACTAGGAAGCCAGTTCTTCAATCACAGGCCTGCCTGCTATGAGAGGTCGGAGAACTTCACTCGCCCTCCCCAAGACATAAATCCAGGAAAGGTAATCATTTAAAAAACGAATTTGTGCTTTAATCATAATTTCCCTGACCAAACCAGGTCGATTTTAAGGCATCATAGCCACAAAACTAGCCAATTTTTAATTTTTTCCTACCACAAATCCCAAAACAGAAAAGGAGAGCCCCATGATACAGCGCTTGTGACCCAAAAGCCTCCAAAGGATCTCAAATGGTCTCCAGCAAACCCTGAAAGGAAGCTGCTGTAAAATCGGTTCCCAAGTCATTGACTATTCATTCTGTTATTCACGTTGATCCGTTAGGGTGGTTCCTGTCCCAAAGATCACTGCAACCTTTGACAACCTTCAAAACGGCCACACAGAAAGGCATTACACCTTTGTACTCAAGGTCACCCAAATACTTGTTAGAAATGCAGAATCTCAGGTCCGACTCCACACCTGATGAATCAGAATCTATATTTTAACAAGATCGCTAGACGATTTATATGCACCAGAAGTAGCGCAGTGCTACTAGCTGTGCTGCATACACCACAGCCATCCCGGGCGCAACTGGAAGGACAGGGGCTGCTCTGCACCTGGAGCGTCAGAGCTGGGTGAGGGACGGAGGGACCCAGGCCAGCACCTTTGCGCAGGAGCCGGGGGGAGGAACCGGCGACTGCTGTTGTCTCTTCGTCTGGAGCCCCAACCCTGCTAAGGGAGGGTACAATTCGGGGCGAGGCGCCTGGCCCACCACCGTTTGGCCACACGGTCCTAGCCCCACCGGTCCCGGCCCGAGCCAACCTCTCACCTGCTCCTCCTGCGGGAGGGGCTTGAGAGGACTCCGCGCCCCGTGTCGAAACACGACCTGCACCATTTTCAACTCCAGCAGGCTCCGGTCGACGGGATGCTGGCCGTGCGGCCCCCGCTGCTCGGCCAGGGCTACCCGCCGCTGGTGGACTAAGTACGCCAGCGAGGTCAGGACGCCCACGGGCACCCACAGACGCCCCCTTAAGACACTGGTGATCATGGAAGAAGCCCCTCGGCTGCCCTCCCGCAGGAGGCTGCACGAGGCGAACACACGACCTCCGCGGGCGCAGAGCTCAGTGGCCGCCTCCAAGTTCCCGGGAACCGACGGGCGCGCACATCCAGCCTCTCAAGCTGGAACTGCTGCGACTCCCAACCCTGAAGGAGGCCCCGAGTGGGAGCAGCGAAGAGTCCCTGGAAGTTTTAACCCGGATCTGTGATGGCCGCTCCACCGGCGGACTGGGCCGGGGGGAGCTCAGTTCCTAATCTTTCGCTCTCAGGGAACCTTAAATTTGTATTCCAAATTTGGCCTCCAGCAGTCTTGAAGGGATAGGAACTTGCCCAGAGTTCCTCTGCAGCAGTGACTCCACTAACACAGACAACTGGATTCCACTTTTCTATAAGCAAACTCCTACTTCCTCATGCACCCAGGAACCGGCTCCAAGTGGACCGGCGCAGAGGAGCACGGGAAAACGAGTCCCGCGGTGACACCATGTCGCGAGGCCCTGAATTGTGGGAACTACAACTCCCAGAAGGCTGAGCGCGGCGGGGCTCTCACTGGGAGGTATTGCCCCGCCCCGGCAGTCGGCCTCGCCCCTCATCCCCTCGAGTGAGTGCAAGTCTCCGGGACTGAGTGGCCAATATAGTGGGAGTGAGTCCGCGAGCTTGCCAGGGCGGCTAGTGTAGGTAACGTGAGAACGGGTAGAACGGGGCTGGTGGCAGGTCGTATTTTGAGTGTAAACAGCGTAGTAAACGTCTTTGAAATCCTGGAAGCAGGAGGTGCTGAAGCGAAGAGCCAAGACACCTGTTTACTGATTACCATTTGCGAATGGCAGCACTACGTGATTTATATTTAATCTCTATTTACTGTCCCCCGGGCATGTTTAAAGAGGCTTAAATCGTCGCAAACATGTAGAACTTTGAGCTCACTGATGTGTTTACTTAACATCCAGAATATTTATTGTGGAAAAATCCAGGCCTTGTCGGCAAGTGCCCTAGTGACTTGGCACCTTAATTTACTAAGAAGTATGCCAACCTAAACCACCTGCTGGGCCGGTTCTCTTGACTATACAGCTACCCCAAACCTGTGTTCCAGATCTTGGTGACAGGACACAATCGAACCATCTGCGTCCATCGCAAGGCAAAGGTCAAGTTGAGAGGAGTGACTTTTGTAAGGCGAGTCTGAATATAAGATATATAACCAGTTCTTTCATCATCCGAAATTCTGTCTTTGGATCAAACTGGACCAGATGAGAAGGTAACATATTTACCATGGAGTATGGCTCTCGCCTGAGTCTGAACTTGTTCTCCAAGCTAGAAGGTTCTGAATGTTCTGTGGGGGGAGGGTCATTTTGGAACACTGCACATTGTCTTGTCACAGTTATTCCCCCCCTCCCCCCACCCCCCGCCTGCCGGCTTAGCCCATGGACCCACTTTCCAGAGTCTTACTGTGTCCCTGATGTGGTTAAAACCTGAAAGCAGGTTTCCTGTGGCCCACGTAAGGCACAGGAGCACAAACAACACTGCTGTTACATCTGGGTTGGGGGCAGCTGTTCTCCGCAATTTAGTGAAAATGTGCGACAGCTTTGGTGCAAAAGGCCCTGGTATTTGAGCAACTTCAGCGTGCTTGACAGTTTTAGCACATCAGAGCCCCTTCAGGGCAATGGAATGTTGGCATCTGAGCGCCAGTACCTTCTGTATAAGGGACAGGCCACCCAAGTTCACACCCTGTTCTGGCAGCCTGGGCCACACACGTGGGTCAGGCGTCATGAGCAGTACCTTTGATCTGTAAGAGCAATCGCAGAGGCTCATCCTGCTGGAGCATGTGTGTGTGTGTGTGTGTGTGTGTGTGTGTGTGTGTGTGTGTGTGTGTGTGGTTGCAGGGGTGGGTGGCAGGTGCCAGGGATGAATCAGCAGATCTCTCTGCAGGAAGCCAGAGCACGTTAGGTTGCAAAATGACAGATTCCTGGTAGTTGAAAGCACTGTTTGTCAGCATATGTGAGACAACCCCCGGGGAGTCCTACAGATATTTGGTGTGTGATGTATGGTGGTGCTGGTGGTGATAGTGAGCTGTAGTTTAAAAGAGAGGCTAGAAACCTTGAAATCATGCTCTGGGGAAGGCTCTGGAGTTGGAGGATGTGGGGACTGAATACTGTTATTGTGACCCTGCTTTTACCACCAGGCAGGGCTGGTTCGGGAAATTAACCCTCCTCCCACTAGATTGTCTTCAGAGGGTTGCATTTAATATTATGCCCAAACTCAATTTTAACCAGGAGCTTAGATAAGAAACGACCACATTCACTGCTTTATCTCCAGTAGTGAGCAGAGTGCCTGGATCATAGTAAGTACTCCATAAATACTTGTGGCGTGAAATTATAGGATTGATCATTGGAGTTGTCCATTACATCACTTATTGCTCTCTCTGTAAATCTCCTGAGAAATTTGTCTTGGGCTAAAGTGTTAACATTAGAACATGCATTAAAATGTATGGAGATTACTTTTCCTTCCTTTTTGCCTTGGTTGACAGGAAGCTTGGAGCCTAACTTTAAATTTAACTACAGCAAATACTTAGAGCCTAATGGCCAGTTTAACTGTGATCTTGTTCTCCAGGGTGTCACCCTGGCTTGGAAGGGAGCAAACCTGGAGAAAAGTCAGTTAGGAGGCCGTTGCAGCATTCCAGGTGTGAAACCTGCGGGAGGCAGAGTTAACAGTACAGAGGGGGAGAGAGGAAGGAGTCAAGATGGCTGCCAAGCTCCTGGCTTGGGCCGTGAGGGTGCCATTTACCTGAAAGATGGTTGAGCAGAAGTTAACAAGCTCATTTTTTTTTTTTATAAATTTTATTGGGGCACAGTGAGTTTTTCCACGACCCATCAGCTCCAAGTCAAGTCGTTGTTTTCAATCTAGTTGTGGAGGGCGCAGCTTAGTGGCCCATGTGGGAATCGAACCGGCAACCTCAGTGTCATGAGCACTGCGCTCTAACCAACTGAGCTCACTGGCTGCCCCAACAAGTTCATTTTAGATTTGGACATTATGAGATACCTGTGAGGCGTCTAAGTAGAAATGCCCCCTAGACAATTGATTATGTTGGTCTGGAGCTCAGAAGAAGTTTGGTCTAGGAATAGATACACGGGACTCCTCTGTACATTGTTATTCATTGAAACAATGGGAGTGGGTAAGATTCCCAGGGTGAGTGGGGAAAGAAATTGAGGGGACTAGGACAGGACTCTGAGGAACCCCATCATTTAAGGGAAGGGCAGAGAAAGAGAGGCCTGAGGAGTGACTGAGAAAGAAGACAAGACTCAGGTGTTAAGGACGCCAAGAGGAGAAGGATGTACAGATAGATCTTAAGTAGCAGAGTCTTGGCAGCCTGAATTGAAACCCATGTTTGTCTAAACCTGCACCCACCGTAAGAACCACAGGTATGATACTGCTAAGCTCCTATCGGGGAGAGGGTAGTAATTTGTGTGATATTTAGCATGTATGACACGCCTCTAACATGCGAGGCTGAAACTTTATTTTTCCTTCATGACTTCTCACCAGTCAGTCTTCTTTCTTCCTACCATCGCCTCAGTCCTGACTGATGGCTTCCTAGCTGGGGTTTTTTTGTTTGTTTGTTTTTCTTGACTATCATTTAGAACTCTTTCTGTTGTAAGTGACAGGAGACTTGTGTCAAGCTGAATTAACAGGAAAAAAGACAAAAAGGAATTGATTAGCCCACATTGTCGAAAACTTCAGAACTGCCTCAGGCTTGGCAGGTAGAAACTCAAAACTGTTAATACTATTAGTTTCTGGTTTCTATTACAGCCCCCCAAATCCACCTTTATCCTCAAATTTTATCTGGTGACGCCTAGCCTGCCCCTGGGTCACATGGTCGCTGGAGCAGTTTTACTCTCTTCACCCATCAGTCTAACTGGAAACAAAGAGCTTCCCCGCCTCGCCCACCCCCATACAAATAGAAATCCTGGGCCTGAGAATCATTTGATAGATTTGGGACGGCGCTTAATTCTGAAACAAATCACTTCCGGCCATCCTGGGAGTTGAAGGGGAAGTCACCCCACCCAAACCACATGAGCTATGAGGGGTGCAGGCAGTTCTTCAAAGGAGATTCAGAGAAGGGGGGGTGGGGGTTGGTAAGTGGATGAAGGGAAAACAGCAGATGTCTTCCACGCCTTCCTCCCATCTTTCCTCCTCTCATTTATCAACTTCCAATGTGCATTGTCAGTGACTCATGCTACCTTTTGGCAGAAGGAGGTGGGCTTAATATTCTCTACATCTCTAACAGGGAAAGTCTGTTCCTATGTCTATACATCTTTGTCACTTCCTTAAACAACTTTATTGGCGCCTCATCACATGGAGAAATGATTTACAATATCAGTGTTCAGTGGTCCACTACTCTGGTATTCCATGCTATTTTTTTTTTTTAAGATTTTATTGGAGAATTGGGGAAGGGAACAGTGTTGGGGAATTGGAGAAGGGGAACATTGTGTTTTTCAAGGACCCATCAGCTCCAAGTCAAGTTGTTGCCCTTTAATCTTAGTTGTCAGAGGGCGCAGGCTCAGCTCTAAGTCCAGTCACCGCTTTCAATCTAGCTGCAGGGGGGCACAGCCCACTATCCCATGAGGGAGTCGAACTGACAACCTTGTTGTTAAGAGCACGTGTCTCACCAGCTGAGCCACCCGGCCACCCGTTGGCAGCTCAGCTCGGGCGTAGCTCACTGGCCCATGTGGGAATCAATCCGGCGACACTGTTGCTCAGAGCTCGCGCTCTTAACCAACTGGGCCATTTGTCCAGCCCCTCCATGCTGTTTTAAAGTTCTGGAATACTGGTATTTCTGTTGCTGTGATACTGTTGTTTTGGAGTTTCAAAAACCCGCATCATTGATGTCTTGAGACATACAGAGACATGCTTCATTCAAATTTTGAATCAAATATAGGCGAGCTTGTTTAGAAAGCCATCTCCTATACGTCCACAATCCCCAAGCAAAAAAAGAAAACCACCGCTAAAGCAAGTTTCTAAGGCAAGAATAATTCTTATCTATTACAAAGACTTTCCAACAAATGAGATATGAACAGAACACTTATTGGTATTAATATGGTGTCTGCCGTAGAGTCTTCATGGATATGAGATGAGATAGGAAGATGAAGACAAATGAGAAATAATTTCTTTAAAGCAAAAAAAGGAAAAGAAAACAACCAGCTTGTTATAAATAAAAAAGTTGGCGCTGCAAAGAAACAAAACATTGCCCCCCACCCCCCTCCCTCATCCCCAAATCTCCTCAAAGTTATCAACCAAGATAAGATTGTTTTAAAATAATGGGCTAGAGAAAAAGATTTAAGAGCAGCCTATAATGATCTCTTACATGCTTTTTCATTCCCTTAACTAGCATAGGTTCAGAAAGAAGTTTTCAGTCACTGGAAAGCTTTTCACAGATCAATAATGACATCATGGATACACTAAGATCACTTAAAAAAAGATTGTAATTTTGCCTCATTTTTTAACCCCAATTAACTTTATGTAGTGCTTACTTTAAGCAATATTTGATTTTCATATTAGAATGATATGTTTCAGTATATTTACATTTTACTTATTTGAAATGTATCAAATATGTGTACTTTATTTTATTGGTCTCAAATACTTAAAATATATTATGTGAAATAAATACCAAAATATACTGAAGTTTTACCCCAGTATTATAATAACTCTAGTTTGGGACTGGAGGCCCTTCCAGTGACCCTGCTGTCTATATTTCCAGCCTCCCTCCCACTGGGAGAGTTCTGTGTATCTATGTTTCCCATCACAGCTTGGACCTGGCTACGTCTGTTCCCTTGCCCAATGCTCCGTCTCCTATTCTACCTGGAATGTTTACATTGAACAAGCACAACTGGTAGAATGGAATCTTAAAGCAAATTCATTTTTGACTCCCACCATTTTTTAAAACCTGCACCAAGTACCCCTAGGAAAGACAAAGATGGTTTCTCAGAGGTAATAAAAACAGTCATGTCTTAAGTGACTTAATAAAGTGGCAAAATAAAGTGACAACCAGGAATTAACATGGCAGTCCTAGGTAAGAAGGATCACTTCAACCTTCATTTAAAGTAGCAGTTTCTCCCCTCCTCCAGCTTGGGCTGGCTAGAAATCTGCAGTGTGCGGGTGAGGGAGAGAAGGGTTCTTGGCTTCTCTCTTGACTCCTCTCATGTTTCTGACGTCCCCTGCAGGATCTGGAGCTTGGTGAGGAAGATTAGCAAAGCAGAAGGGCGG